CCCCATGCTGATGCTCTAAGCCGTTATCCACCTACCATCAATCATTTATGTGCCTACTTATCACCTTCTTTGCAAAACAACAACCTGCTGCCATATATCCCAACAACCATCATTCGACAAGAGACAAGGAAAGTGGCCCAATTGTCAATGGGACCTCAATACCAACATAAGGACGACATGATTTGGAAAGATGAGAAAGGAGAGTGGAAACTGTGGATCCCTCCTAACTTACGTCATCATATCATCCAACTCCATCATGATCCCCCATCCAAAGGACATGCAGGTGTCGACCGTACCACCTACTCAATTAAACTCAACTTCAACTGGACGAATATGGAAAGGGATATAGCGGATTATATCCATTCTTGCCCTGTGTGCCAACAGGCAAAGAACTATTTGCATAAAACCCCATTTTTATCAACGGGGATCCCTACCGAGTGCTTTTCAGACGTCAGCATTGACGTCGTGGGACNCACAACTGACTCGCCGCTGTCATCTCTTGCCGCTGTGACAACCCGCCGCAAGCCCAACTCACCGCAGAAATAACCTGCCGCTCATACAAGTTGCCACAATTAAATGTGAAAAAATGAAATGAAAGTGGATTTTTTCATTTCATTTGAAATTTCATTTTTTTGTGATGAAATGGAAGTGGAAAACGTAAATTTTTTGTCCTATGTACATTTTTTCAAAATACTCATAAATTGGATCAAGATTTTTTGGATATGATTTTTCTTTTTTTAACATTTCAAATGCATCACATGCTTCTTCACTTGGTAAAAAAGATAATGCTAATAACATTTTAGCAAATTTTTGAAATACTTCATCTCTCATGTAAGTAGAAGCAAGCCCAAGTTCTTGTATTTTTCTGCACACATTTTGTCCAAGGTGAAATACTTGTAACCCCTTTTGCTAACATGAATAAAAACATGAGTAAACCCTTTAAAAGTTAACATTTAATAACCCAACAGGATTCCTCCCTACATTTAATCATGAAGTTATTGCTGTTGTGAGTTGTGTGTGCTGCAAGCCATGTGCAGTTGTTGCAGCGGCAGGTTGTCTGTGTGGCAAGAGATGACAGCGGCAAGTCAGTTGTGCGGCAAGGTATGACAGTGGCAAGTCATAAGGGGTGCGGCAAGTTACGAGTGCGGCAAGTTACAGAGCGGTGAGTTGTGTCAACACAATCTGAATGACATCAGGACAAAAGCCCAAACCCCCATCAGAAAAGCGCAGTCTACATATCTACAAAGACTCAATAAACATTGAACAGGACAACAATATTCTCCTGGAGACAAAGTGCTCATTTGACATCATGATCTCTCAACATACATTGGACAAAAATGGTCTGCAAAATATAAAGGACCATATTCCGTCCTTGAAAAAATCAATGACATCGTAATCCGAGTCCAGGATGACAAAAATCCAACTTGGACCGATGTAGTTCACATCAGCTACATCCGTCCATATATACAACAAGGAACAGACTATCCAAACAACGTCGAATTCCAAGTGGAATTAGTCCCCACGTCAGCCGATCCCTCAACGGATCCCTCATCTTTTTCGACATCACCAGCAACCATCGAGGAGGACCTTGATTTTTCTTTTACTACCCGTGATCAACCTCATCAACTTCCTGCTGAACCTGACGCTGATCCTGACACGTGTCCTGACCAACCGCCTGATCAGCCGTTTGAAAAATCTGTTCCTGATGACGACATTTTTGTATCCGCTAACAATACCATGCATACAACCAACAACAGTGCTGCTGCCAAAAATGCCAAAAATGATGACAATAATACTGCTGTCAACAATGCCATCACCGTCATCCAACCGCTGGCAGATACTACCCCAAGCAGGCCCAGTTTCTTCAAAACTATCAAGGAAGTGGCCCAAGGCGTCACCCACGAATTTGGTCGCCTGTTTGCCCCTGACTCCAACTACAGTCTACCTACTCTGACGGATCAGCCTTCACCGTCTGCTGCCAGCACCCCAAAACATCAATCTCCTGCTACATCCATTCCTGACTCTACACCTGTTCCTGCTAACTCTCCTGAAACCGATGCTGACACCACAATGCGACCGTCTCGATCCACTGCACGCAGCTTGGACCAGAAAAAACGAAAGCATGCTCCTGACAGTTTTTCGTCACAGGATGCCAGTTTTCCCGGTCATCAAACTCCTATCCGACAAGCTCAAGGACTCACCAGGCTGGACATTGACCCAGCAGCGGTGGACCCATCACGCATACTTCCACAACGCACGCGCAGTCAAGCAAGACGAGCTCAAGAACAAGCGCCTGTTGCTGCTCGCACCAGAAGCGCCCAGCGGAAACAACAATCCAAAATATTCCACCTACATTTCCCACCAACCTCCAGTCTATCATCAGCTTTTAACCAGCAAACATCGACAAAAAAATGCTGAAATATCTTTTTACTTGTTGGTGCAAAATTAACATTGTCATTTCTCTCACTATTTCTGACATCAGTGAAAGTGACAAAGGTGTGATCAACAATAGCATTCNCTTTGGCTTTCTCATACCAAGCCACAACCAATTTTTCCGAATTTCTATACAAACAAAAAAGTCTTAACGATGCCCAGGAAAATTCACACCAGCAGCTCAGAATTGCCCGCTGTCTCCCCCAACAGGATACTCATGTCCAAAAGATCCACTGGAGGTATCTCCATAGTATCCATGGCTGGTGTAGGAGGCATATACAAAGGTGTTGGTCCAACCATGTCCACACCCGTTGAATGAAACTCCACTGCAGACGGAAAACCAGAAGAAAAATTAGAAAATATTTATTAAATAATTTTTCTTAATATTCACCATTTCCGAAACTGGATACAGACATATCCAAAAAGCTCTGAACAAACTGATCGATTTCCTCCATGAAATCATTCTCATTTACATGAGCACATTCTTCCTGTGTTTTTTCCTCCACTTCATACCTCTACAAAAATCAAAAAGCTTTTCTTTACAAAACTACCCTGCTATTTTTATCCTGGCAAAAAAAGATGTCAAAAGGAAAACCAACCTTTAAATAAGTTTGGCGGACTATCCAAATGAAGAAGACAACAATGGACAGGATTCCGGATCCTCCGCAAATTATGATGAGGAGTGACAGCACGGACCTGTCATCCAAAACCGTCTCCAGCACAGCTTTGCCGTCCTTCACCTTGATTATCATCTCCGGAACAAATGACGTCACCTCCAACAGCAAACCCGGGCCTGATCCAGCAATGCGATGATGTATGACCGCTTCTGTTGTCACCGTGGTCACTTGCGTCACTCGTGACACAGCATCCAGCAACGATGTCGTAGCAGTACTGCTGCTGATGGGCAAACACCATGCCCAGGGCGCCACAACCGCCTCCAAACCGTCCCGACGTCCGAAACACTGGACCTCATGCTGCAACCTAACCTGCTATAAGAAGAAAAGAGGAACAATGAATTCACCAAACTTCATTGTACAACATCTTCTTCTTACCTTCAACCGCCTGAGCCTAACGCAATCCAAGAACATCTCATTACCAACAAACGTTACCTTCCTGTCAAAGTCCAGCGCCAGAGCTACGTCATCCGCGCAGACATCGTCGCATACCAACTCTATAGAGTCCTGCACACAACAAGATTTGACCACGTCCACCAACGCAGCCACAACCAGCAACAGCAAAATCACCTGCACAAGAGCACGCAATCAATCAACTATGTCAAGACTGATTTGCGTATCATGTGCCTTCATCAGTGAAACCATTTTTCTCGCAAGTACTTTTATTTTTATTGTTTTTACTTTTCGACAAACAGCTACTTTTTTTTTTGCGAAAAACGAAATAGCCAAACCAGAAACTAAACAAGAACAAAAGAGATCTCCCTATATTTGAAAGAAAAACAAAACTCTGTAAAGTTTTCCAAACGCCGAAAAAACTCCGTGAAACATGCTGTCAACGAAAACTCTAAAAACACTCACACTAAACCTGGACATGTTGATCCGGTCGACCTCCGATTGGCACTGCCAGCCAGCTTTTCGAAATCCACCGGCTTCCAAGGGTTTGCCTGCGCCTCATGGCCTTGAAGCCCCTTTCTCAGAAGCATGGCAATAAATCCTTGACACTTGTGAACTTGCGTGACAGGAAACAAGCACGGCGCTTTTGTTTTGCTAAACGACTCAGCTGTCGAACTTTTCCTGGAACTGTCTTATTTATTGCACTTCAAGAAAAAGGCATGGCAACCTTTTTTTTATTGCCCAGGGTGAGTTGTTATCCTGCAAAATACTTGACATTATGTTTCGAGTTTCTTCTCTCTTAATTTCTTTTCCAAGCTAGATGAACATGGGAAGAAAACTTTCCCATGAATATATTTTCTCCTTGTTCTGGTTCACTGACTTTCGCGCTTGCCTGACTCAGATGTGCATGACCCATTTTCACCTTCAGGCCCACATTTAATGTTCCTTTTCCTGCTGACAGTTATTTATGGTAATTGATGTTCCACAGAATTTTGGCTTCTACTATTTGAATAATAAATTCTGTGCTAGTTCCTGAGATACACATCCTGGTTCCAAAACCTGGATATGCATCACTGAATCCTAGAAATATGTCATGAACCCAATAGTCTAGAAGCTATATAAACTTGAGTCTTTCCTTGAAATCCCCAGAAGAATCCCACTAGAGAATTGGACCTGACTCTTGCAATTATTCTCAGGAAGACTTGCAATACTTTAGCAAGACTTCTTTATATTGTCTTGACTCTGCTTGCGTGACTGTTGTATCAAATATACAAGTGTGATTCTGTGTAACAAAGTAATAGAAATATATTGTGCAGTAATATTTTTTAGTCAAATATTCTTATTTATTTATTGACAGGACCAAAGAGAATCTGTTTACCAAGCAAGTTAGATAACAAATGTAAGTACCCTTTCTGCAGAACCAACATTGCCGAAGACCAATACAAAAGATCAGCAGAGATGAGCAATAAACCATGGTCTGTCTCCACTCCAATCTGTCTAATGGGAGACGTGACACGGAGTAGTTCAAGTGCCGAGTCTGCTCATGACCAGTACGAATTGAACGGGGAACAAGGAAACCCTGCACAAATGGGCTCTCATCAGCGGACCCTAGCTACCGTCAGTAGCTCTGAGTCATCACTGATGCTGTGAGTCAATCAACCCTTCCTTCAGTAAATGACAGAACAGGAGTATGATTGAAAGTTTATGTTATAAGGCGCAGTATTATTGTATTCAAATTGTTAATCAGATATGCCAAATTGTTCAAACTTTCCTTGAACCCCTGTGGGTTCTGCACACATACCTGCTGCTCATTATTGCAGGATGGCTGCGCAAGCATTTACAATGCTTCTCTCATGAATATACGCCATCATTCCATAAACTTGTCCTCGGCAATGAAACGCCAATAGAATAATAAGTAATAAGCTCCAAAAACACTGTTGCTGAGGTTCTTTGTCCTTTCCATCTTGTCCCAAATTGCTTATTTGGAATTCCTATCCCATATCATTTCGATGACCTCATTCTGTCTGGTCCCCCCAGCGAAGTTGATGAAAGGCCCCAAATACTCTCCCAATCTTTTGTGGTGAAAGATCCGTCAGTTAAGGAGCTGAATACATTGTAGGAAATACGCAAAGCGTTTATGTCGTTGAATAAAGTACAAGTCTGGTAAAAGATTGTGCATTTTGACTTGTTTCAGGATGTCTTCTTTTGCTGCTGGCCTTCTGGATTAGTGAAGTTTCTTCCCTATGGGAAGAAAACCTCATGCATACTGATATCCCAAACTGTGGGATGTAAATAAAACTCTATAAGAGACTATGCAAGAACGTCTTCTTGTTTCCTAGGTCTTTGAGTTTTATCCCATGATTACTTGTTGAGATAAACCTTGTCGAGAAGTTTTAATCTTATAGCCAGAGTAAAGCAAATGAGGCAACTTCTCTTTCGATTCAATACGTATATTTCTGATGATGCACAACAACAGTCCAGACCAGCAATGAGCAACGAAAGGAGTGTTTGGATGCTCCTTTATAGACACTGTATGCGCTGGAAGGGTTACTGACCACGCAAGACCAGAATAAACAGAAAGTAAACCAAGTCATGTGAATGACCGGTCAAAAGTAACACATTCCGGTGCTTGAACTTAAAAGCGTGGCTAGGCGGATCTCACACATGAAACACAGTTCGAGAATGGGGTATTATTACTCTGTTCGAGGACTCACAATTTATGATGACAAACTCTCCGCGGACAAAAAGAAAGAAAAGTTCCATCTTTTCAAAGTGCTACAGATTTGTATTAAAAGGAAAAACCCCTCAAGTGAATCATGAGTCATCATGAGTCATCTGGCTCATAAGTTTTAACAGCAGACTTGCCTGGGCCTGATGATTTTTCATCAGTTTCCCATATGGCAGCCTTCTTGCCAGGAATTTGCTTCCAAGATGCTGAGGAATGTCAATCCTCACATCTGAGGGGGAGTAGGGGTGTGGTGGCATGTATTGACACATGACCTACAACTGTCTGGTATCTGAGTCAATCAATCTCATTCAGTCTGATTGCTTGGCAGAGTGCAAACCTCAAAAGTGAGTCTCAAATTTTTCCTTGTATTTTGGAATTAAGTGATTTTACCCCTTGTTTTTCAATCTTTTCTCAAGTGAAATTCATTTGTGTAACACCTAATAGTGTTCTTTCATTTTTTTCTAATTTTTTCAGTCAGTTTCGAGCGAAAAAAGACAACAATTGTTGTAAGAATACGGGCGGCGCAGAACGGAGCGGCGCTGAAACTTTCGTCTGGGAGAATGGGCAATTTTGCGAGTTTTTGTCCCACGGGGGCGGCCATATTCCTTGTCTTGGTGAGTACCTTTGGTACGATATTCTGAAACAGTGTAGCCAGGTGGGGTACAATAACGGGCGAACAGTAAAGCCAAATAGGGGTACATCACTTTGTATAGCGGTACAGCAGTGTTGCCACATAGTGGTATGCTAGTGTTGCCACATGGCGGTATACTAGTGTTGTAACATTTTGACGATATTTCAGTCGTTCTAATTCCTCCATTTGACTTGTCTTCTGGCTTTCTTCAGATTGTGGGAGTGAAAGTGGCATGCGCTGCTGATTGTGCTGATGTCGGGGGTTGATTGACGTACGATGACGTTTGCGAGGCGCATGATGCTTTCCGCTTTGGGTATTCGGTTGAGTTTTTGGGGACTCGATTGGACCTGGATTGCGTTGAGCACTTCCACTTGAAAGTAAGCATTCTTTCTCTATAAACACAAAAATCATGAATAATCATGTAAATACAAAACTTTCAGAAGGTGACCATGGTAAATGTCGCGGGTTGACTAGATGTTGCCCGCAGCGCAGGGACAAGAAAGGCAGAAAAGTATGACGCAGCATATGATATGCCACGTTGTACAAAGAAAAAGAAACTCCAGACAATTCTGGAAAATGAAAGCAATTCCTTTTTACTCAAAACATTATGAAACCTGAAGATATTGATCTTCAGGAAAAATATTCCATCAAGTGAATCACCACTTGATGAAAGGAATTATGAAGAATTTTACAAACAGAAAATTAGTCACACCCCAGCAAAATGGACTTGGACATTGCTGATAAACAGAAGTTGAGGGTTCAGGACCCTTAGGCCGCAAACGGCCGATTGTGCTATAAACTTATTTCACTAAAACCTGATATTTGTGTTGGGGTCTGAGGACCTCTCACAGTAAAGCCAACTTTCTGTCGTGGCTCTACCCAGGGAATGGAGAAGATAGTCAAACCATGGGGACATTGTTTTTTCTTCTTTAAGAGTGAGTTTTTGATAACTTGATGAACTTTTAGTCCATAAAGCACAAATCTAAATTGTTTTTTTTAGCCAAAGAAACTCAATCGGTCAAGGAACAATTGGTTCAGGAAAAAAGGCAAGAAACAGTGACCACAGCATCGAATTCCTTGGGTCAAGGGTTGCTGAAAGAACATCAAAGGTTTCTGGAGAAAATTTTTGAAGAGAAGCTGGTAATGTTGGAGAGGGAGACTACCACAACTCCTAGTGCACAGACCATCAGCCCATCTGTTGGGTTGGTTACCCAAAAAGAGGGTTCTGGTTTTTCTGCTTGGGCACCGATAGTTCCTTCCAGCACTGATAGACCTATAGTCGAGGGTCTTGGCACTGTGGTTAATTTGGGTGAAACTAACATCAGCACCCTTTTTAACACCCTGGTTAATGCAAAGAAAATAAACATCACCACCATAGATGGAGATGGGAATGTGATCCAAGCTTCTGTCCCTCGGTGGTAGTGCAAATCATAGGCTATGTTGCCGGTTGCTTGGGCACCATCCTGACGTCAATTTTTGGTTTCATTTGTTGTCGTTGTTATAAGTTGAAGGTGTGTTATGAGCTTCTCAACCTTGGTTTCCTGCTCTTCCTGTAACTAGTGTTTGTTTTTTGCTTTCGCATGGCTTTTAATGCTTAACAGAACAGGAGGGGGGAACACGTAGTTAATGTTCATCAGCCTTGGGAGAATATGAGTGAATCATCTACTCTAACTGCTGTTACAAACCTTTCCTTTGGGGAGGCGATTGAAATGGCAGAGAGAAATAGAGAATTTGCTACTATTCGTCCTATCAAGAGGCATATGCACTGTAAGTTATACACAAAACATTTTGCCTGTTTGCCTGCTTTTGCATTTCTTAGTCTTCACTCAGGTGCGCAGGACGGAGCCAGGAGTTCTGGAAATCTTTCTTTGTTTTGTGTGGCCCCTGGTCTGTGTCTGGATCAGGATGAGAGCGCGTGTTGACGTCGGTGCAGACGTTGAATCTGGAGAACTGGGTCCCAATGGGGTTCATGACAACAAAGGATCGGTACAGGATGACGGCGCTAGTGCATCGAGCTTCAAGACTGCTAGGGAGTGATCCATGCAGTTGCACTTTTGTTACGCGGATAGGCTTTTGGTTGTACAGCTAGGTTCCTGCAATAAAAAAGGTTTAAGAGAGCTTCTGTTTTTTACTGTTTTGGTTGGTTCTGCTTTTCAGGAACTACTTGGACAGTCAACGGGTCAGTACAGTGAGAAACATGAACATTTACATTCTTACATACATTCTTTCCTACTTGCTGTAAAATTGTCAGAGATAAAAAGGCACAAGTTAAGACACAGATGTAAACAGACAAAAAAAAGGGACTGTACTTATTTGATGGCCATCACTCCTGAGGCACTTAGCTGTAAGCAAGGATACTGCGGCGCTGATGGTGCGCTTCCACTTGGTACTAACTCAATGGTTGCTCCTTCTCGGTAATCCATATTGCGGCAGCGTCTTCTACGAATCACATACCTAACTTTTGCAAAGCAGAGATAAAATATGCTGATTAGTATAATAGACAGCAACACAATAGAAACAATCAGATAAATATATCCATGGTCTCTAAAATGCAGTTGCAATTCACTAATGTCTTCGGCAGCAGTATTTCTGGGCGTTGCTGCGGGTATCTTGTCTACCGCATTGATTTCTACATTCTCCAACTTGGGAATCACACCCTTGAAAGGTCCATTCACCACAGTATATCTACATGCAGGCTTGAACCTTAGAATTCCAGAGTAAGGTAATTTGTAAGAGTTTTCAGAGGCAGGTACTTTGTTATCATCGGAGGCGGCGCAATATTGAGTGATCCTTCCCTTGTTGACATCCACGTAAGCAAATTCGTCTCTATCAAGCTGAACTACTTCATTCTCTGGTTCTTTAACTTTCTTTAAATGGAAAGTAGCTTTAATGTCCGCTTCGTTGCTGCCCTTTTGAATACTTTGTATGCACATGTCCGCACTTCTTGTTGGTGTATGCTGAAATCTGCAAATTTGACATCCAGAATATCCCAGAGGCCTGAGACAAGTAGGAATCTCATAAGCGTTAATTCCAAACAAGTTACTGTTTTGTCTTAGCAGGTGGGAATGACTCAGGGAAACTTGCTGCCATTTTGGGGCACCCATATATGTGTCTTCAGCAATGGGAAGGGTGTGAATTCTAAACAATTCATAAACTTCGGAACTTCTAATGACCGGTACTATACTTAATACTTTTAAACTACAGGTACCATTGTCTTTTGTAAGGGTCTCACAATCAAAAGTACCCATGGTTACCGGGTTAGATCTTATAATATCAAACAATTCCGTCGCTGTTGGTCCACTTATTGGTGGTCGATGCTCGGTTGTAATTATTTCTTCTAGCACAGTATGAACTTGACTATAGTCAAAGAAATGTCTGGGAAAATTAAATCGTTGAATTTCTTCTAAATCCTGCATGAGAAATAAAGCTAGATCCGTAAGTTGAGATACTTTGGAGCTCAAAACTAGGATCTTGGTCCAAATTTTTGTTGCTGCTAAAGGTATAGGTATGTCAGCCCAAATGTCTTGAATCAGGTTGTCCAGAACGGATTCATACTTTAGTTTTTCGAATGCAAATAAAGTTGATGTTGAAAGAAAAGCTCTTTTCTCTTTGACTTGGATTTTGTCTATTTTAGCTATGCTTCTTTCTACAATTGGAAGTAGATTCCAATACGGCATTTCTTTTACTGGTGCTAGTAGAGCATTCTTGACTCAAGCGGCTAAATTCGTTAAAACAGCATCCATTTGTTTGACCTTGTGAGACAGTAAATCTATCGTAACCGTGGTAACTGCTGAGTAATTTGCTGTTCCCAGTTCTTTTGCTGATACGAGACTAATGGTAAATTCATTGCTTTTTCGACGTATTGAGCCAAGGGACAGAATGAACTTACCTAAGTCTATTGATGCTTCTAAAGTCCAGAAATTCGTCGGTATACATACTTGATATAGATCTTCGAGGGTGACGCCGACATTTCTGGGGAAAGTCCTGATTGGGGATACCTTGTCGAACCTGTTGCTGTTGGACACGACACCCTTATCATCACGTAATTCTTCAATAATAAGCGGATCCACTTTGAAAAGATGAACCAAAAGGATGAACTCGACTAGTCGGAACATTTTGCTGCGCAAGTGCTTTTGTAACTGGGTTACTTGTTGGCAGATGGGCTACGTTGACGCGAGTTGGATTTTTCCCTTTTTTCCCCGCGCGTCCTTGATGGAAGTACGTTGTCTAAATCTAAACCAACCAGCATACGTGGCTTAGGGGACTTGGCTAGTATCTTTGTTTTGCCAGACGCGCCTTCCACCTCCTGCCTTTCTAGTCTCTCCTTTTCCTTCTTTTTCCTGTACTCCCTATCTGCTTTTTCCAGTTTTTCTAGCAACTTCCTGTCTGATTCCTTTGCTTTTTTCTTTTCCTTCCTTTTCTGGCTCTTGCTCTTAGTGGTCTCAGCCGCACCGCTTGCCGTATCCTGTTTGGGCGGTGTGCTGTACGGTTGTTGACCTGTGCCGACTGACCTTCTCAGTGTACTAGATGCGTCTGGTTCAGCCATGACGGTGTCACTAGCAGGAGCCAAGGATGGTTGTTCTTCCTCTTCCTCGAGTTCAGGTGATAAGAACTTCCCTATTTGGTCCTGGAACTCTGAAAAGAATTCAGCTATTTTAGAACTAGAGCTAGATTTAGATGGTTGAGGTTGGATAGTTTGTATAGAGTCGTCAGCAGATACGAATGACTCGTTTTCTTCAGCTGTTTTAACTTCTGTGTCTTTGTTTGGTGAAGTTGACGGAGTTTCATAAAACAGCAAGTCTGGTACCTCCAACGTGCCAGTTTCAGGAGTAGGTTCCAATGTTGGTTCTTCCTCTTCAGGAGCGGTTTGATCTTGGGTTGTTTCTGCAATGGTTGGATATGAAGTCTTTGCTGGGGATTTTGGAGGTGTTTTGGTTGGAGACCGCGTTTGTGGTGGTACTGCCTGTAGAGTGGCATCTGAAAGATTTTTCTTGGGGAAGATGACAACACAATTAGTTATATCTGGTTCGTTATCGCCATCTGGGTCATCAATGATGTCATTGAACTCGGTGATTTGTTGTTCATCCGTGGATGGATCAGAAGAGGCGTTAGCCTTTCTTTTTACATATGGTCGTACGTAACTAATATGTACGACATCGGTCCACTCTGGATGTTGGTCATCACGAATCCTAACAACGACAGGGTTTACAACCTCCAAGACGGTATAAGGACCCCTATACTTAGCACTCCATTTCTTTCCTACGAAAGTGAGGGGGTGCTGTCGTAACCAGACCTTGTCACCCTGGACGTACGTAGTTCCTTTTTGATGGACGTTCAGTCTTTCCAGATAGGAAGCCTGACCTTTTCTGATGGCGGCCTGTGCTTGTTCTTGTAGGGTGTCCAGTTTCTCCTTCTTTACCTCAAAGAATTCCTGTATGTTTTGGAACTCTTCCTGGTTCTGCAATCCCGACAACCAATTTTGACGCGGTTTTAATCCGGTTACTATTTCAAATGGCGAGGCCTGTAAGGCTTTGTGTTTAGATTAATTATGTACCCAAGCCAATAGTTTTAACAATTCGTCCCAGGTACTTCTATTGTCCGGATCTAAATATAAGGCAAGATACTCATGTAGTTCTTGGTGGAACGTTCGTTTTGGCCATTCCCTTGTGGGCAGTATGCTGTAGTAGTATTAGCACGGGCACCCAGAAATTTAGCCATGTCTCGAAACACTCTGCTAACAAAATTGGTCCTACGGTCAGTTAGTATCCGTTTCGGAGCCCCAAAAAGGCAAACCCAATCAGTTAGGAATAGTCGCACTGTAGTTTGCACAGCAGCGTCCCCCATAGGCGAAAAAAGGATCCAGCATGAGAGTTGATCATGCATGACTAATACGTACCTGTTCCCTCTCTGACTGTTAGGTACGGGCCCCACTACATCTATACTTACGTCTTTGAAGCAGTTCTTAGGGATCCCCGTAGATAGGAATGGAGTTTTGTGGGCATATCCCTTTGCCTTCTGGCATTTGACGCAAGATTTCACGTAAAGGGTGACATCTTTCTCCAAATTGGGCCACGTAAACTCTTCTTGGATAGCAAAAGAAGTTTTATCGATCCCACAGTGGCCCATTGCAGGGGGGTCATGGAAACTTGATATTAATTTCTCTCTTAAAGATGGCGGTACCCATATCCGTTTGCCTTTTTCTGTGGATTTCATGACTAAACCGGCGGAAGCCTTCTGTATGGGGTAATTTGTTTTTCACCGCTGCTGGTGCCCTCTGCAATATGCCTCTAGAAACATATGGGATAAGGTCTTGTTCTAGTAAAGAAGGGGAAAGATAAGCACAGAGTTTGCTCTTTCTATTTTCCGGTGGGTATCAACTCAAAGCATCGGCATGCGGAATGGAAAGGCCCTTTTTGTACTCCACCTTATATTCATACTTGTTCAGGGTGATGAACCAGGCAATCGCCCGGCGACTGTCACTCTGGCGCTGGCGACTCAGGTATGGAATAGCGATGTGGTCTGTACAAATAATGAAAGGATGTCCCCAAAGATAAGAGCAAAATTGGGAGACGCGGTAGTAAACTGCTAACAGCTCTCTATCAGTGTTAGGATACCTGGACTCTGCTTCGTTTAAAGTACGGCTGGTACAACCTATGAGCACTTCTCTTTTTCCGGGCTTTTGTGTAAGAACGGCCCCAATGGCAATGGCAGATACATCAGTAGTCAGTATGAATTCGTAGTTCAAGTCCGGGAAAGATAAAATAGGAGCCGAGAGAAGGCATTTTTTCAGACAAACCACTGCATCCTGCTGTAACTTAGTCCATTTGAATTCGGATTCCTTTTTCAATAACAAGTAAAGGGGCTTTGCTTTAAGGGCAAAGTTCTGAATATAGGAACGAAAATACCCAACCAATCCTAGAAAAGCTTGAATCCCTTTAACATCCTTTGGAGTAGGAAAATTTTGGATAGCCTCTATTTTGACCGGATTCCAGCTTCACTGATCAGGAAACCTAAATATTTTATTTGGGTACGGAAAA